GCTCTGACCCCTGGGATTCCTGCCACCCCGTATTTAATTGGTTTTGTGCCTGCCTTTTGCTGCTAGGCATCCACTCAGGTCATTAATGTGTGTTTTACAGCACACTTTCCTCAAGAGAATATTTGCATTTTGCCAGAAACTCTTGAAGTCTTCACCCAAAGAGAGGATTAACAGAGTACCCAGATACCAGGTGCCCTGGCAGATGGAGGGAATGGACTAATGAAAGACATCCACACACCAAGTACACTGGGAGATGGAGGGAAGGGACTTGAAACTGTCTCCTTAGGTGAGGACGTTTATCATGGTAGGATTATAGGGACATCAAATACATGTTTTATTAACTTAAAATTGAAACATTTACTCAAAGTCTGGTAAAAATCAAGAACAGCTCATCTACACAGATAAGACATAATCACTAAGAGCATTACTTTTTCCTTCAGAAGATAATGAGCTCTTCTTTGAACATGAATGTGCAGGACTGTACATTAATAAACATGCAGATATACACTTGCACATGTGTGTCTATGTTACATATATGTAACATCAATGATATTTTTCCTGTTTATCTGATCAATTTGCAGACAGAAAGCCAATGCTGTCCTTGTTCTCACTTTCATTTGTTCGGGACTTAAATATTTTACAGCAAGTCCTTCCATGTAGCATTGCCTTAGAATTATGTTTTGTTTATATAAATGAAGGAAGAAAGGAAGGAAGGGAAGGAGAAAAACAAAAAGAAAAATAAAGAAAGGGAGATCAGAGAAATGACTGGAGAGAAAAGGAAGAAAGGGAAAATCTAGTTAACAGAAAAAATAATGGTTTAAACATACTTTGGAATAAATATGAAAACTGCAATTACATTTATTAATTTTCTTTTCTGCAATAATTTATACAATGTTTTATTATGTGTATTTCCATCAGGAAGAAATAAAAGGATCTCACCAATAATTAATTGTGCAATTAAAATCACACACCTGAATCTTGTATAAATGTTTAAATCAATCATTTTAAAAGATTTAGTACATAGTTTCTTTTCCAGATGTTCCAAAGTCAAACAAATGTGTTAATTAGCATATTTTGGATCTGAACTATTTTTAAGTCTCTTCCTTATAATTTCTGTTTTTATTTCCAACCTTAAATTTTTTGGATGAAAAGAGGCCAAAATCTTATTTGACACCAATAACCATCACTGAAAGAGAGTAAACATATGTTTTATGAGTCACTAATTAGATTTAAATTACAAATACAGTATGTATCATTTGCATAAATTGGTAAAAATCTATCAAAATAAAACTTTAAAAAAATTAACCTGTTGGAATAATAATGAACACATTCATAAAAATATCCAAAACCAATTTTTGACAGCTTAAACAATCATTGCAAGACAGCTTTGTAGTAAATGTACCATTTTTGATTCTCTTGTGTGACTAAGGACACAGCACCAGGGTACAAAGGTCTCTGCAGTTAGTGAACGGGCAAAGGTGATGCTGGGATCCCTGTCACTGCACAATGCTCTGTCTCCCAACACACCAATATAGAACTTAAGAAAGGTCAGCAAGGAAGACAGTCAGAGAACAGTCTCAAAGATGAAAGAGACTGAGAAGTTGCTGGAGCTGGGCACGCCTGTAACCTCAGCATTCAGGAGTCTGAGGCAGGAGGATTGTGAGCTGGAGCTCAAACTGGACTGTGCAGCTACACTGCAGGCCAATCTCAGCCATTAAGCAAAACTCTGCCAACACGAAGAAAAGGGAGGAAGAGGAAGGGGAGGGAAGGGTGGGAAGGGAATAGAGAGAAGGGGAAGGATAGAATGGAGACAACAGAGAGGAAGGGGGAGGGAAATTATTTGATCCATATACAAAATTATTTGATCTGAGATACTCCACTGTCGCAGCAGTAGCCATGGGGATGTCTCCTTCCAATACCATTTCTTTGAGGAGACCGATGAGGCTGCTATCAACAGTTACACAGCAATTATTGGGATTGAGAAAACAGTCTACATACAGGCCCAGGGTCTTGAATTCCATTGATTCACTTTTCACATCCAGCACATGGGTCCACTCCTATAAAACACAACAAGAAAGAAAAGAACCATTCCCAGCCAGGACAGTGAGCCCAGACACTAGCTGGAAAATTCTTGAACATCTAAATCACATTCTTATATCAAAACGGGTTAGTATGTGGAAAGCAAGTTCTGGAGACACCAGAAAACTTCCTTGTGAAGCAGCCATGGGATCCAAACCTAAGTCTGATTTTACATATACTTTGCAAACACAGTGAAAACTTCAAATTCTTTCATGCTTGTCTGTCAAAATGACCAAAAAGAATAGAGAATCTGATAAGATCTAGAGAGGAAAGTGGTGACTTCACTCCCAGCAAAGGTAAAAGAATGAAGATTACAGGAGTTTTCTGTGTTTTAAGTTGAGACACCCAGGGGTCTGGCTTAACTGGGCACATAGGAAAACCTGACCTGATGTTTCTGATTCCTCTAATTCGTATACCCGGCATGACGCTCAGCTTGCCAACAGGAGAAAGTGAGGTGCAGAGAGATGAGCCACCCCAGAGAAGCAAGAGAATGGTGCAGAAGTCGTAGGCACACACCCTTTTCATCTATTTTTATTTTCAGTGCATCTGTCCATTTTTTTCTGAGTCAGAGTTGCTGACGAGTCCTGAACTTAGCTTTGTAAGCTTTTTCACAGAACTACCCACGTGCTAATGTCTGGGAACCTCACTGGCTCATTCATCCTTCAGCAATAATAGTCTGAAAACCCGCAGCCTTCTCCCGGTAGACTCAGAGCACAAGATCGGTATACTTTATTTTACAGCTGACACTCTCCAAATATTCTGATATTTTTACTACAGAAGGTCCAATTTAAATAATGTCAAAAATAACCTTCTTGGTGAGTAGAAGCCAGAATCTGGGTTAAATGAGTGATGGTAGCAAGGGAATTTTAGAATATTTTTTTATTTATTTGTTTTGTGTTATTGAATGATTTTCCCACATGCATGTCTGCATCATATGCATGCCTGGTGCCCACAGAAGTCAGAAGTGGGTGTCAGATTTCCTGGAACTGTAGTTGCACATCGGTGTCAACCACCATGTGCATGCTGGGAACCAAACCAGAGTCCTCTGCAAGAGCAATCAGTACTCTTAACCACCGTGCCATCTCTCTAGCTCCACGGGGTGACTTTTATAGAGCATTTGATGGCTAAGTATCAGATTCCTTAAACAATTCATCTTATAGCAATGGGACTTCTAGAAAGCAGGATTTGGAATTCATTAAGAACAGGAGGCTGAAGGAAAGCAGGCAGCTGAGATCCTATTCCCTCTGTAGCCGCAATGTCACAGCTGAGGAGAAGGAGTTACTTACATACTGAGACCACAGTGTCACAGCTGAGGACAGGAAGTTACCTAGAAACTTTAGCCACAACGTTACAGTGAAAGAACCAAGCAGACGCCATAACAGGCTGCTCAGTCTTCTCTCAGAGATCAGTCTCAGTTTCCTGATACTTGGGCAAGCAGTTTCTGGGAGGGCCAAGAACAAAAGACATAGTCCTTGCAGTAGATCCCTTTCTGCATGTACTCTGACTGCTCAAGGTTCAGTCATCTGTTTACTGTCTGGGACCCCTCACCAACTTAGAGCTACATGCATTAGTCAAGGACAGAGCCTGGGCCACTGAGTCACCCCTCATCATCAGTACATCCTGGGCCAGCCAGCCTCCATGGCAGCTCAAGGACAGAGTCTGGGAATTGTCCAGGCCTGCCCCCAAAATGGTAACAATAATCCCCAACTAAGCCTAGCCAATTAAAAGCTACTAACATGATTACCACTGCCATAAAACAATCCTGAGACTATTCCTATGTAGTCTGTAGACCCCACCTCCCCCATTTTAAAAACCCTGTCCCATTGCTACTTGAGGTCTTTCCTGTTCTGCTGCTGCATCAGATGGACAGAGTCCCCAGTTAACTTTGTAACAATACAAAGACCCTTATCCAAGTGGATGAAAGACCTCAACATAAATCCAGTTACACTGAACTTGACAGAAGAAAAAAGTAGGAAGTACTCTTGAATGCATTGGCACAAGAGACCACTTCCTAAATATAACACCAGTAGCATAGACACTGAGAGCAACAATTAATAAATGGGACCTCTTGACTGAGAAGCTTTTGTAGAGCAAAGGACATGGTCAATAAGACAAAAAGACAGCCTACAGAATGAAATGGATCTTCACCAACCCTACATCTGACACATCTGGCTGATCTCCAAAGTATATAACGAACTCAAGAAACTAGACATCAAAATACTGAACAATCCAATTAAAAAATGGGCTACAGAGCTAAACAGAGAATTCTCAAAAGAAAAATCTCAAATGGCTGAAAGACATTTAAGGAATTCCTCAACATTCTTAGTCATCAGAGAAATGTAAATCAAAATGACTCTGAGATACCACCTTACACCTGTCAGAATGGCTATGATCAAAAACACTGATGACAGTCTATGTTGCAGAGGATGCAGAGCAAGGGGAACACTCCTCCACTGTTGGTGGGAGTAAAAACTTGTACAGTCAATGTGGAAATTAGTATGGCAGTTTTTCAGAAATTTGGGAATGGATCTACCTCAAGACCCGATGATATCACTCTTGGGCAGATACCCAAGGAATGTTCAATCATATGAGCAATCATAAATGCTCAACTATGTTCATACCAGCATTATTCGTAATAACCAAAACCTGGAAACAACCTGAATGCCCATAAACTGAAGAATGGATTAAGAAAATGTGGTACATATACACAATAGAGTACTACTCAGCAGAGAAAAACAATGACATCATGAAATTTGCAGGCAATTGGGTGAAACTAGAAAATTTCATCCTGAGTGAGGTAACCCAGGCTCAGGAGGACAAACATGGTATGTACTCACTCATAAGTGGATACTAGATAAAAAGCAAAGGGACAATCAGACCCACAGATCCAGGGAAGGTACCTAGCAGAGTGGACCCCAAGATGACTGTGGTTTATAATAAATTTTGGTTTTGCCCAGTCACTGGGCAAGCTTTAGTGAAACATTTCACTATTAGGATAAGAATTTGTACCGTATCAAGCTGATGAAAAGATATGCTGGCTGTACTCTCAGGGTGGGGGTTAAGTCTTTTTAGATTATGGATTAGCCTATAGAAAAATGTCTGCCATAAATCAAACAGTGAAGGGGAAGATGAATAGAAATCTTGCTTACACAACTTTGCTTTTGCATTGGATTCAATCTCTCGGTGGTCTTTGGGGGACTCTGGGTACAACAACAGCCAAGGAGAGGGAGTTACTTACAGACTGTGGCCACAGTGTCACAGCTGAGGAGAGGGAGTTACCTACAGACTGTGGCCACAGTGTCACAGCTGAGGAGAAGGGGGCTTACTTACAGTGAAGACAAGAGGGGACTCTCAGGCATTTGCTAGGCAGTGATAACAAATGAAAATAAATGGTCCTGGAACGTTTGAAACTAATTAGAAGGGATTTGTCAGACTCAAGAGAGAGAAAGCTCTGTAACTGAGAAATGTAACAGAGAACCTGCAGAGGGAACCCCCTCAGGTTGAGGGGACAGCCTCATTGAGGAGCCAAGGGCAGCTCTCCATGGTCCTCACCGATGGCTTTCCTCAGGCCTTGGAGGGTGCATTGGTGACAGGACTCGCTGGGCACTATAGTGTCCATGTTGCTTACAGAGTCTAAATGTGAAAAGGAAGAAACACTGGACTGAAGAACAAGAGAGGAAACAGGGCCTTGTTGGTCCGTAGCAGAGTGTCTTCCTGAGCCAGGGCCTGGAGCCTGTACAGTGAGTGGGCCAGAGGCCCCAGCACAGAAGGGAGAATCACTTGCTTTACTACTCTGCTGTGGTCATTTGAATCCTAAATAACCCTTGAGCATGAAGCTGCACAATTTCATTTTGCACTCAGCCCCACAAATCATGCAGTGGGTCTTGTTCCTCTGATAGCTCACCATGCAATGTCAGGGGCTTCTAATTCCTGAACCTGCTACCAGCACAGCACAAAAAAACACCGCAAAGTCAAGGCTGAGACTCAAAGAGATGGAATTTTTTTTCTACTAGGTAATAGCTTGGCCAAGGATTTATTTTCTCTTCTTCACTAATATTATATATATTTAAAGTCATTATGGCTGTGCTGTGACCTGGTGCAGTAAGAGACAGGGTTGTAATCACCAGGGCAACAAGGTAGAAAATGCCCTTCAACTCCTCTGGGTTCCATACACATTAATCTCTCTGGGACGGAAATCTTTGCTAGAGCTCACAGCTCTAGGCAGGGACTTTTTTAAAGGGGACCAAGCAGATTCGTCGAATTGTAGAATAAAACAGTCCTGACCTTGCTGGCTACCGAAGCAGGTAAATGTTTCATATGGAAGGAAGTCATTGAGAGGTAGGCCTTGGGACTCTGAAGGATAGATTGTGCAGCATTGCTTTGGATTATGACCCTGCTTAGTGTCAATCCTCACTTCAGCAGCATTCTGGCAACATCTTCACAAAGGAGTGTGACGCTTCTGTAGCACAGGAGGTCTGTAGGAATATATTATGATTCAATAAATAAGTAATATAATTGAAAATAATCTCTTCCATATCCCCAATTCAGCACTAAAATTAAACAAGCCTGTACATATTCCAGAGACAATAACTGAAGGGGAGGGAGGCAGAGGCACAGATGAAAATAATATAAAGACATGCAAAACTGCTATTAACTTGGGATAGATAAAAGAGTGTCAAAATTATAGCTTTTGGTAATGTTTAAGTTGAGACTCTAGTAATCTGGGTATAATTGTACATGTGCATTTGTTCTTTGTAGCAAGAAATATATTACGAAATAAAAAAAAAATAGACTCACTAAGCTTACAATGAGAAAACAAACCTTCAGAGGAAGTGCCAGCCCTTTGAAAGGATGTGTGAAACCCACCAGCACGGGCTGGCAGTCCTACCCTTTATGACTCCTGCTATCAAGCTTATAAACTGGGAGTGAAGTTAGAGATCATAGGCATGAGCGTTATCAATGCTGTTTGTTGGCTGGAGGGGTCATTTACAGAAGAATGAGGAGGACCTGGCCGTGGTAGTACACATTTGGATTCCAGCTGAGGCAAGATGTTGAATGTAATCACAACATGGGTTGCATAGCAATACCCTATGTACCTAAATAAGTCAGTGGAAATAAGTTGTGGCGAAGGCATGTGTGGGTCCTACCCCTGCTTATTATCTTAGGATGGCCACTCAGCTGTCTGACTCACCACAGATGGCCCAGAGAGCCGTACTACAGTCACACAGCACTGTGGGAATAGTCTGAGGCTCACGGACAAACTTCCAACCCAATCCAGTTCTCCCTGAGAGAGATGGCAGGATCAACTCCAGGAAAGCTCCCTCAGAGGAGCAGAGGCAAGATATCTGTCTTACTATACTCATGTGAAAGACTGTGAGGCCACACTGCCCCAAGACCAGGCAAGGCCATCTTCTGTTCCGTGAAGGCAAGAGACTCCACAGTGACAGTATCTAGGAACGTCAACCCACAGACTGATTCAGATAGTTCTTAGAAACTATCTTGGCGTTGCTTCCAAGGCCATTATGATAAGTTTTGACCACCATTTCTCCACCTACCCAGTGGATGGTCACTATTTAAGTGTGAACAAAACCTTCGTTATGAAGGAAATACTCCAGGAAAATGGCATTTTATCACAAGACACTCAAATGTTTATGCATTTGGTTTTGAGAGCTAAAATTTGGCAGTTTGAGAACTACTGATCAGCATGTCCTGATGATTTGTTAAACAAACACTGTCCCCAACTGCAGAAATTCTGGTTCATCAGATCAAGGTGGGCCTGAAAAATTTGCATTTCTGACAAGTTCCCAAGAACTGCTGATGTACTCAGTGCACTGGGCCACACTTTGACAACTAAACTGTACATGGAGGTCTGTTGGCTCCACCGTGCAGGACACATACAGTACCAAAGAGGTGGGCCTGTCAGCTCAGTGCTTGCTGAGGGTTCTTCTCAACATTGATATCGAGAATAAGGCTTTTTAATCCCTTCAGCTCTGCCTTCCTGTGATGTCTTCTGCCCAGGCTCATGTTCTCTGTCCTGCACATCACTCTGAACAGGGTAATGGTGTCAGGACTCCAAAAAGATTCCCCTGTTCGCACAAGGGCAGAGTTAAACAGCTGGGCCTGACACGGTGACTGTATCCAGGCTGCCAAGTCCAAGGATGTTGACAGATGATTCAAGGAGGAAAGAGGAGCATATGTAACTACATTAGGAAGCGAGAAGGTAGAACCAGTATCATTTCTCTGGATGTGTTATGCAGGCAGGCTCAGAGCTCAGGCCCATGTTCTTTATAGACAGGAGTCAGTAATGTTTTCCAGTGGAAAAGAAAAAAAAATAAGATAAAATTTTCTTTAGAAATAATAAACCTGGTGTTCATTAGGATTTAAAGAGACAGTATTTTATAATATAATAATTCTTCTGTTCTTTCAGCTGAATTCAATATATTTCTGTGTCTAAATGTGCTTCCTCTGAAAAATAAGATAATTGACTTCAGAGAAATTTTACTTGCAAATGAAGTTATTTTCTCATTTGTATTTTATTTATTTTTTTGCTTAGTTCTAGTCAAAAGATCCTATGAACTATGTGTTTTAATCTATAATTAAATAACCAAGTAATAGTGGAACATTACTAATATGGGAGGCATAAATTGTGAGTATTTTAACTAAAGAAGTATACTATACAGTGACAAAGCAATAGGAAAAATAAAAAAGTGTGTTGAGGCTAAAATTTTGATTATAATTTGTTATTATTATATTCTCAGATCAATTTCAAAAGCATAAAATTGTGAAGAATGCCATTGTAATTCCTTAATATTGTAATACCATCCTTGAGACATTTTGATGGGCCCCTAACAGACAGCAGCTAGCCATCTAAACTGTCCTTCTTGTAACATGAATATTTTCTATATCACCAATGACAAGGGTCATCAGCTTGTTTTTAAAACATTCTGGATGCTCAAAGAGTCTTGAGATAGTGATGGACACGATGAATAAGCCCAATTGTGTGTCCTGTGGGCATTTGTGAACACAGCTTCCATGACTACAGTTTGAACCTCTCAAAAGCAGGCTTGCTTCTGTAGTGAATCAAAACCAGTAGGAGATGTGTGTGTGTGTGTGTGTGTGTGTGTGTGTGTGTGTGTGTGTGTGTGTGTGTGTGTGTGTGTGTGTGTGTGTGTGTGTGCATGCCCATGCATACGGGTGTGTAAAATGTATTCAAGGGAGAGATAGAGAGCACACACAATAATAGTCAGATTGAGCTTAAGAAAATAACTCTCATACAATTTGAGGGAATAAGCCTAAAGTTTACCAGCAGGCTAGAATTTCAGGCAAGAGCTGGTACTGCAATTTGGAAGGACATTTCCTCTCCTTTGGGAAATGCGATGTTTGCTCCTGGGGCCTTCAACTGATTGGCTGTGGAGCTCTCATATCACCCAGACATGTCTGCTTTACTCAGTCTGTTCATGTAAATGGCAGTCACATCTGAAGCATTGCCTTCATGGAGCACTTCAGTCCTTATTTGAGCAAACATCTGTCCCCATAGCCTAGCCAATCTGGCACATACATTTATTTTCACACGTGTCCTGCCCCTTGGTCCCACTGGTAGGTCACTGAGCATCCTGATGATGGCTAGAGACAAGGGCTTCACTCCCCCGGTCTTCATGCCTCTGGGCACTCACTGATTCACTGCTGCCTGTGGAAATGAGACTGGGGGACATGGGTGCTGAATCTCGTAGATGTCACTGAGTGTGGAGAGCCACATCCTGCTGGTCCATAAGGTCTTCCTGCCTCTGGAGTCTGCTGTTCTCCCTGGCAGTGCTGAGGAGCTTAGCTGTTGGGCCTCTGCTCAGCAAATGAACCTGTGGTCTGGTAGCCCCCTTTTGTGATTGGCCTAGGAGCACAGCGTGAGAACTCTTCAGCACAGCACAGTTTTCCTCCGGCAAAGCTGCTATTGAGTTTCTATTTCGATGATGTTTTTGCATATTCCTGGTGGTCTGGTAATTTAAGGAGGAGACAAAGATGTAACTCATTGTCATCCCTCAATCCTCATGGTCGTCTCTTCTCAGAATATACTCTAATTGGTCCACAGCCTTCTTGAAAACAGCCATGCGTAGCGGAGCCCTCCTTTGTGATCTGATAGTACAGAATATAGCTTCTGGTTCAATCAGAGACCTTCAGAGTCCATGTTCTGTGACCTTGAGTGGGTCATCTGATCTCCTGTAGTCTTAGGCTTCTCGTTCACAAAGTCAATTCAGTATTATTGACTTCATAGAGATGTTCTCAGGATTGAATTATATGAAGTTATTATTTTAAACCATCTAATGAAAATGCCACATAATGACTAGATGCTCCACAAACTATGATAGCAATAGTAATATTAGGCAGCTCAGCATCTACCAAGTTTCCCCTCACTGTGAGTCACTTCCAGACAAGTTCTCCACTCACAGTCTGTATTCATTAAAGGAACCTTTAGCTCTAAAAAAAAAAAGCATTTTATACCTCATTAACTTCAAAGCTGAGCCATTCAGGTCTGCTCCCCATTGCAAACCCCTTCTCTGGCTCCTTACGCTGAGTCTTATTTTCTAATTCATAGAATTCACACATATATTATCTGATTTTGGCATTCTTTCTCTAAATTCTTTGGGAAGTTTTCATCTTGCTATAAACTGCCTTAAATTATAATCCTTTCTATGTTTGTGCAGTCCCTAATAATCATATGAGCAATTTTTTCAAACTTAAGCTCTATTCATTTATTTACTCAGTAAACACTGCTGACTTGTTACTGTAGAAAAGGGTCTGGGATGGGAACAGGAATGGCCCAGATGAGAAATCCAGTCCCTACCCACAGAAGCTTTCAGACTGGTAGACAACATGCTCAACCAACAGGTAAGAAAAACAATTCTTTAAGAGACAGTATGTTTAGTGCTGTAGTACAAAATGTTTGAGTGCCAGCTAGGCACACAGGGGACCATCCAGCTCAGCCCAGAGTTCCTCACAGACTTCCCAGGGCACAAGATGCCTGAGTTGAACATAGATGGAGAAATTGATTGAAGCAAATAAAGCAAAGAAGAGTAGAAACCCCATCAGAAACTATCTATCTAGAGCCAGGGCTTGTGCAAGGTAGACTACAAGCGGAAAGTGTCAAGTATCAGTGTCAGAGTTCCAGGGTATCATTGGACAGTGGACCCCCTAAGCCCCCATGAAGGCTCCTGAGAGCCTCCAAATATACGTATATTCACTCACATCGAAGGAAAAGCCACACTAAAGGATTTTTAAGCAGAGAAACAGCACAATCCAAATGGCATTTAGAAGGATCACCTTAACGGTGGGAGGAAGAAAATATTTCTTTTGAGAAAGTTTTTGAAGCCCCATAGCTGAGAGCAAGATGATCAGAAAGAATGGCCACAGCATGAAATTTCTTAGTGTAAGCACTAAATTTCAAAAATGTCACAAACAAGACAGATTGCAATTCTCTCGAAGTAAAAACAAGTCAGCTGAGTATCAGAGACCTAAGGTAGGAGGGAACCTCACAGTGACACTGG